TCGAATATGACATGCAGTGGTGTGATGGTAGTTTGAAGTGGGAAGTCAACCACCAGTTAATGGACATTTTTGCCGTATGAGTACCACGTGGAGGTAAGTCTATCGCACACCCCTGAATAAAAAATTGGGCTCTGGAACATCAAGCCATGAAGCAGCGTTAATATCCAAGAGATAATGGTTAAGCAAGGTTGCATTATGTTAGAATCTTTGAAATGAAACACAACTTTATTTTCCATTTCCACTGAGATTGCCTTACTATCAAATTTGTTCGGTGCTTCCAAACGATGAGAAGCCTGACGTGGGTAACCGTTTCTTCTTCTTTTTATTGTTTCCATAAAAAGAACCCAGCAATCGTTGCACTTTCACTTAATTGTCCATTCCCTCTCCAGACATTTATTTGTATTACTAAATAAATAGTTTCATGTAATGATTTGCACGAACTATAATGCAGAACAAAATTTGTGGTTAGACAAAAGCAAATATGCCATAAAAGCAGCTTTCGAAAACGCAAAATTTGGGGGGGGGGGGGGTGAGTGGGGGCCTTACGGCAAGGTCAGTTCATTTCTAGAACTTTTTTTCCCACTTTGAAATTGCCATAGGCAATGATACGCATTTTATCTTACCATGGCTACAAGCTAGTCCAACTTAAGTTAGTACTTTTTACTTGCGTTCAAGTATGTTTAAGCTATCAATTTGGTCCCCGTGTATGTGATCGTCTCCAAGTTAGCCTAGACACACAGTGTGGGTGGGTTGACAACCAAATGTGTCAGACACACCGACGGGGCTGTATGCTGCACATGGTGTAAAAGGCAGTTTGCTGCGAGGTGTGAGGACATTTTAATATGGTCGTATTTTTTAATTGTCGACAGTGTGTCGCTACCTCCATCTTCCTATTAGATACCGCCTTTTACACCGCTCGTCACATTGACTGGCCCGCTGAATAGTCAACCTAGGCCTAACTGCGATTGAGGCTAAGCAGGAATCTTGGTTTTATGGTTGAAGTCTTCCAACTTGCCTTTTCTTCTCTTGCCAGTAAATATTGCACTTAAAGCTCTATATTACCTACTCAAATCGTACCTAGTGATGTCAATAGTCAACCGCGTTACGGGTGAGCGAGTTTTATACAAAGGCAATTCCAGAATATCCCAATTTCTACCCATTTCAATAGTTTAATTAGGTTCCGCAATGAGTATTGAGTTTTTGTGACTATTTTAAAAGCCTATATCGCACATTTAGCAATTTTCCACTTTGAAACGATGTTACTCATCCGTTATGATTAATGATTAGGTATTTTTCCTTTATCGATTGCTCCGCCTTCGATCTAGATTTGTGAAGGACAATTGGATCGAAAAGTTAAATAAAAATAAGTCAAACTTTCGGGACCTCATAAAGGAGTAAACTAAATAAAAAAAATATTTTTCAACCATATTTCGATGAAGTAAATAAGTCTTTCATCTATCTATTTGCTTTTTTTCATGAAAATACCTCTGCGTGCGGCGTGCAACCGCATTGCTATCAGCTGATTCGTTTTACCGCTAATTGGCTAATCGCGATCTCCCCTCCAATTGGTTAGCGCAAGTGTCATGATCGAATGGGACTGTGGCTTGCTGCCATAAGATGGTTAGAAGGGAGTGGGATGGTTCTCAGTTGACCGCTGCTTCCCCAAATTCAGGTATGTAGTGGACTTTTTCCACCTGGATAGTGCTATTGGTAAACATTCAGAGCTGTACAAACCATACTCATCATTGCCGATATTATTTTATAGCAATTATGACGGATACATTATCAAGCACAAATTCGACTAATCTCTACCGATCTCCATACCCTAATCGTCATCCCAAGTTAGGAATATCTGCTGTTCTTCGGTCAGCATCAGTTAGCCCTTTGTCAAGTTCTCAACCAAAGCCACTAGAAAGCCCTCTTAGATTAGATGATCCTCCATCAGTAACATGTCGGTTCAGACCCGGACTTAGGCCAGTCAGGATTATAGACATGACCAATTTCCGGTTAAAAAGGAAACAGTTGGGCAAATCTGCTGGACTGGATGGTAAAGACAATGAAATGCGGAGGTCGTCCACCTTGCTACTTCAGTCTCGACGTCAACCGTTGAAAGCTTTCCAGCAAAATACACTCCCGCCTAATATATCTACGTTTAATTTTAAGTGAGCATTCTATTTGCTATTTTTTTATGGTAAATTCCCCTATTTCCCCTTTCCTTAGTTACTTCCATTTGGGCTTGGTGCATCATAGCTTTAGAATATTCTTTCCGTAATTGAGTGATATTGTAGGTTCCAGCTACTGTTTATCTAAGTATTCTTATACCAAAATTGAAGCGGTGTTTTAGTCGTTGTTTTTACCAGAGAAAGCACCTAAATTCTACCCTTGCGTCCTTTTTGCGATTCGCGACTTTTGATACTTCCAGACGGTGTGAGCTAGGTGTCAAATTTGGGAGAGAGGTCCTACATAAATAAACAACTTTACAAGTTGCTAGGTCGTATACGCGTTTAAGGCTATAGGTAAGGCAGACTAAGGACGTAATTAGCGTTCCTACGTAGGTGTATGGACCATCTGAACTAGTTAATTGAGGTCAAATTAAGCAAACTGGTCACTTTCGAATGCTTTTGTTTTATTTCGATGATACACTGCTTTTTCTCTAAAGCCATATTCTCCTTTAAGACAACAGGATCCTCACCTAACTTCCCGGGAGCCATCGCAGATTCAAGGTCAACTTGCCTCAATCGCAAGCATTCAACGAATTTCCACAAATCCGAAGATTCGACGATACAGCTCCAGTGATATGGCAACTTCCAAACAATATAAAGATAGTAAGTATCCGCAGATTTTTGTCATTGCTTTTCAAAGCCTTCCTCTAAAAAATTTTTGTTTGTTTTGTAGGTTCTTGTGCTGAACATATCTTTGTCGAGGTCGAAAATGGCCTTTCTCGTAAAAGGTAATCTCTTTGCTCTCCCAAAGTTGTGCTGCTCACTAATTTCATTTTTTCTATGTTTAACGATTTGGAATTCTACTGAAGAAATTTAGCGGTTTAGAAATGATAGTTGGCAAACTCTTTGCTTTGCTTGAACTCCTTATTTTTTTAACTCGGTATTTGAATTGGGTCTTGCACCGGAGGACTTTCAACAAGTTTTTTGCTTTCCTTAGGAGAAGTGTGCCAGTGCGACCCAGCAAGAAGATGAAATCCCGCGACAGTCTAGACTCCGTGGACTCTAATGTAACATCCCCTAGAGGTACCCACAGTCCCGCTTCGACCCCTACTTCAACTATGACCAATAGTGCGACAACCAAGCAAAATCCCAAGACAGGGGTCATGACCAGGATTCGTTCCCAAACCCAACTTGCTTACGAGGCTGTCAAAAGGGTCGTTCGTCGACATTCAAAGCGTCGGTCGGGCTCCTATGAACTGCGTCGAGATACAGAAATTTATTAACTTTAACTTCAGACCCCAAGAATATTACCTCTTCAGACTGTAGCACATATCTCTGCTTTTTATTTTGTATATAAAATGAAAATTATGTCCACATTACATTTGCTATTATTGAATTAATTGTGTAGATTGGTTGGGTTTTGGTTTAAAACGCATGGCAACTATTTTGCTTCTGCCTATCTTTTTTATCACCACGGCAATAACAAAAGCAGTGGAGGTAGTGGTGGGATCTCGTTTCAGATAGATCTTAAGGGATCGGAAAAGGTATCTGGTCGGTTATTGAGGTGAGAAACAACTCGGAAATGAGGTGGTTGCGTATGAAGCAATAAAATAGAAATTTCTTGCCAGCTACAGGTCACTCGCTATGGATGGTGAGTAAGTGGTGGCCCTTGGTATTGCAACTCATTCGGGTGCGGGGTTGGGGTGTTTTACGGTCTTGATAGTGCGATAGTTCAAGCGGATAATCATGTTTCAGTGATCGATTCGGGGCTGACTAATATGCTTGCTTTGTTTTAGCCAAAACTAATGCAGTTGTCGATAAGACGTAAGGCTGATCTTGTTACTACATAAATCATGAAATGAGTGAAAATCGTCGTGAAGACTGATATCATGCCAACAGTTCTCTGAAATAAATTTCTGATTAAATCCATCATTGTTCAATCTGCACATAGCAAGAGTCAAATTTACGAAAACGTATCTAATTACATTCATCTTATGACTGACCATATTCCAACCGGTAATATAATAATTTGACACTTAAAAAACTTAGTAGTATTCCATATCAGCTGTTTCCCGCAGATACTAAGTGTACTTTTTGCATTTATGCGGGTAATAATGCTAATATAGCAAAAAACAGTAATGATATTTATCTTCCTGTCAAATCAAGACGGATGCAATCATTTTCCACTTGAAATCAAGCCCTAATTATTTGATGCATTCGTCTACTTATTCTGTTGAAGCAAATACGTATTTTTTCCAGAAATATCCAATTTTTCAATAAGGTAATGCTCATGCAGCAATCATCCTCATCATTTCCAGGTCGCCATTAGGTTTGGGCGGGGGGGGATTAAAGGGCCGCAGTGAGGCCTCATCACTGCAATTTTGCTTTGGGATGATTTTTGTCTGGTGTAGTGGTGACGGGTGGTTTCCCAAACCCTCTTTTTTTCCTACGCCAAGATACGAGACAGTAGATATGACGCACAGATATCAATCAGAATGACTTACAAGTCTATGCACGGTGTGAGATCACATAACCACAGCGGAACCGTGTGCTAAGCCGAATACGTACGAACATTTTGCCCCTCTGAAACTAAAAGGAGGGTAATTTTGCGAGTAGCTTCTACCTCATTTTTTTAATAATATTTGATGAAAATGTTTTATAATTAATATTTCTACTCAACTACAAAATTCCAATCCTGCGTTAGACCTAACTATCACCTCTCTGACATCTTGAAAGATCCTTAATGAAAGAAGCCAATATCTCCACTCCTATTGGCCAAATGATCCTACCCTTTCCCTATACTATTTCCTCATGGATATATTGACACATCTTTTTGCTTCAATAGCGCAATGTTTAAAGTTTAATAATTAACGGTAATATTTAAAAATATCAATAATTTAAAAAAATGGGATTAAATTGAAGATTGCAATTAGGAAAATAGAGATATGCGGATTTCAATATTCCCCCTGACCGAAGAGAGGAGGACAGATCTCCTAGGTGCTTCTTTTCAGTATGAGCTAAGTGAGTGATCTATCGTAATTTAGGCTTTCGCGAATATTGGGAGATTGTCTGCGGGTTTTATTATTTCCATCCTAATGGGTAAATTAATTTCATATTCACATCAGGACATAAGCCCAGTGACATGATTTCATATGCTGGCGCGACCGCCTCATTGCCATACAGGTGTAAATTTGTTCATCTACAGTTCAGGGAGTCTGCCGAGCTGTCGATTACCTGAGCATTTATAATGGCCAATTCGTTTCTGCTTTCATATCTCATAGTATTTGTGAATTGGTGTTAACTTCGAACAGCCATGCCTACAGATCTTCGTTTTTTATTCAAGCCTATCATTTATGATTGTCGTTCAAGTTTGCGAGTGGATTCTGCGTCAAAATCGAACTGCTCTTTCCCACCAACCACGTGTGCTGCATCTGCTTTGAGTTTGTCACTCCAATTTAGAGTGAGACACTTTATACTTTCCCATTTTCAACGCATTAGAACACACTAATAGTGTGTACCTTTTCTGTGGAGATATTTACAGAGATCAAGTCTGTTTCTCAAAGGGAACTCTTCTGCCAACGTTCCAACAGCAATTTCTCTTAACTATCTATCTGTTGGTGCTCTGAGTATCCTGTACTTTATTATTAATCACCTTGCTAGTAGCAATAGAAAAAAATCGTATTGAAAACTTAACGATATTTCAACTTATGCATGTCAAAGCAGTTCCCATTTCACTTGGAGTAACTTTGATTTGAAATCTGAAATGTGCGCAATGCTTTAAATCAACGAGCTTCGCTAGAACGTCATTTAATTGATCTCTCTATGGGCTGGAGACACTCTTTTGAGGCTTTAATTAAGGCGGCTTTTTCCCACCCTAAGCATATACAACTATTTCTAGCGCAACTGGTAGTGAGTCTAATTGGAGCTCACACTGCAAACTTAACTGCTTAACTTGAGTGATCTCGTCAAGGTCCCTCATCACTCCCAATAAACCCCACAATCGAAGGATGTCTCTTTTCTGTCCCAGATATATATGCATAAAAAGTGTTAATTTAGGAATTACAACTAATGACCTGCTAAAACATGTCCCAATAGGAAAGTGGACTCTCAGGTACCTTAAGGCCACTTGTTAAAGTATACTTTGTTGTTAAGATCAAAGCAAGGCCGTTACTAAGGCAGTGAGAATGGGTAGCTTAAAAAGGTAACTTGAATAAATAAGCCAAGCGTCTTTACTTTTAACAGTTTATTTATTAACCCCACACATCAAGTTTAAATAACATCAACGATAGAAACATTGGCAAATATATAACAGTAAGGTGGCTTTTAATTCCCTGGCACCATACCAATCAAGTATAGCTAAAGTGCATAAATTGGGAAAAAAATGAAAAGGCTTGGATTATGAAATTTCAAAACTCACGGTCTTTCCAATCGGACGAATAAGTTCTGTTGGTGTTTTAAGTGGTCGATAACAAGGGCTCTTAATACATTTACTTTAACCATTTTGACATATATGCTCTGTAAGATACCTTGTCATCTATGAGACTTGGTGCTACAGGAAATTAAGTACCGAAAATTCTGATGAATTGTTAATGCTTTGGGTGCTGTTTTCTTGTCTGCAGACATTAGCATATAGCTACACCCCTGCCCCACCCCACCTCCCCCACTCAGATGATTTCACAAACACTTTCGGCTCGTCGCCATGGTATCTCTGGTTCATTGGCTTTAGCCATGATTTTTTTAAGCTTCTTGTAAGGTTTCCTTTGTACCTAACCGAGAAGAAGTGCTTAGGTATAAGTACTAGGAAGTGAATGTAAGTTAAGGAGGTAACATGGCCACATGATTTCACAGTGGTGTTTTCACACAACAGGGCTTTACTAGGGCGAAGACATCATATCGGTATTATCACAGGGGTTTGGAAGATTCATGAGTTTGTTTTTAGAAAATATGTTGATAGTGAAGTGAATTCTGTCCACATGCCAAGCAAATTGCATAAAATTTCTGGCGATTTTATCCTTTGCCAAAATGCATGCGGCAGGGGATTAGGCGTTTATGTTAAAAACAGGCTGGGGAACTTATCTCGAAAAGGTGACGTGGCAGCGTCTTCTGGGAGAAATAAAGAAATCTTTCCTTTAGAATAAATTTCTTCTAACATTTTTGTGCTGACTCAATGATGTGGATGATAAGCAAGTCAACAGGAGATGAAGTGGGATGGAGATTTCTCGTAAAGACGGCTCCAGGATATCCTCCCTCAATCCAATTTGCTCAATTTGTTTATGGAAGTAGATCGACACTAAGGTCATGAATTTGAAATACCTTAGTTTACCCACAAAATGAATCTCCGAATGAAGGAGTAGATGTAAAATAAACACAATAAGAATGAAAAAATAATTACGTATACAACAAATCAGCCAGCACAAACCAATGCAATTTTATGCACGAGAGCCCATCTGAACACAGCGAATAAGAAAGCGTTCCATTCGATGTGCGATCGAGTAGTCAGGGAATTCAAAAGCTAAACAACAAAAATGTATTAGTAGCTTTAATTTTTGAGTTCCTGTTGTACTATTCTAGTTTTTCGGGAATTGTTAATTTCCTCATGTTTTAATGTCCCAGTTCTCTGTTTTCTGAGTGAATTAACATTTGTGGTATTCACAACTCATTGATCAGTGTATAAATCTTGACAGTTAGTTATACAATTTGGATTCTTGTAGGTAGGCAAAAGCCAATACGAGACATCGGAGTTCACGAGACCAATGTTAGTTACTTCATCACAAATTGGGGGGGGGGGGGCAAACAGTATTGATCAATTCGGGTCACTGAAGTCGACAGTCGAATGCGCGTTGCTTTTTGAGGTCAGCTTCAACGAAAGTCGAATTTTGAAAAGAATAGCTTCGCTCTAATGAAGAGAAAGGCTCCAAAGTATTCTATTGAATTGCAGCTGGACTGGGAAATAGAGGGTGATAGAGCGGTTCTTTTCCCACCTCCAATTTAAACAAACTCAAGCTAACCTCTGCTTCCATCAACAATTTGCTGGTTATCTACAATTTCTCCGCTTGATGTAATCAACGGATTGTTTATTTTATTTATTAGACTCAAAATTATTTACTTCGTAAGAAAAATCTCAAACTTAAATCCCATATTAAGATGAAATCCCCTTGGGATTTGCCCTCAATTTCGACTCTTTTTCAGATCCAATTTTTTTGTAGCTTAATTCTTTACCTCATTACTCTTGTCCTCGGAGCAGTTCGCTGCCTACAGTGTTGGAAAAAATATTATTTTTTGA